TCTTCATTTTGTGTAATACTTTCATGTTGCACAGCGCGTCGTAAGGCGTCACAGCGCGTCGCTACAGGAGGCGATCGCTTCACGAAAAAAATCTCCCTATTTTTTGGTTTTCAAACTTGGGATCTCTGAAAATGTCAACTTGAAATAAGAAGACACACATCGAATCAATTTAGCTTTTGCTATTTTTTTATTTTTTGCTGTTAATTTTTTTGAGAAAAATATTTTCTTTTCTTCTTTCTTATATTTTTCATTATATCATTCATTATATACTGTACTGTACAGAGCAAGCAATTAAAATTGTTTGAATTATGTAAAAAGTGTAATAGATCTAAACAGACAGAATGATTTAAACAAATATGATTCAAATTCAAATTAAATGATACTGTACAGTATATTATTTTTTAATAAGCTACCTGTATAGTAATTTAGAGCCCCTATTAAGGGGACACCTTTGGGACCAAAAAGTGTCCCATTACTAGAAAGGAAAAGGAAAGAAATGATTTGGAACATATAATAGGAAAAGGAAAAAAGGATAAGGAAATAAATGAAAGAAAAATAAGAGAAAATATAAGGCAATAAGAAAGGAAAAGTAAGAGGATCACCTCTTGTTATTGTCAGAGATCTTTTTTTTTTCCATTTCTTGTTAGCACGATATCTAAAAATTGGCACGAGATTCATACATGCACGCTTCAACAAACATTTAGCTTGGCATGGAATAGTCACAATAAGGTTTTCAAAGTGCGCAGTTATGCGTGACGTCATCTACGTGCAATTTTGCGTTTTTACATTATTGATTATATCAGCCTAACCAATTGCCATTTCGAAATCGTATTAATTGAGCATTAACGTCAAGTCAATGTTAAACGTAACTTACCCTAATTTTACGCGTGCGCGTCATAACGCGTGCGTCAAACTTTTAAAATGCTCGAAATCACATTTAGATTAAATTAGAGCACGTTTCAGGCCATTTTGAGCATTTCAAAATTTTTTGAAATTTACTACTACGCATGCACATTTTTACGTGCGCAGCACGTATAGAAACTAGAAATTAATTTTTGTCCCATTTTTGGTTCCTGACATTGTTTTGACAAGTTTCCAATCTTTTCAATCACTCTATGGCCAATAACAATGGCGTACGCACGCATCAAACATAGTGACCTTTGAGCGCATTTGTGCCGATATACAGTGAAATTTTGCTAAAATCTGGCCTAATTTTAAACAGTTACAGCTCTTTAGGATGAAATGTGACCCCCAATTTTTATTAAATATTCTGAAAGCACATGAGTTGTAAATTAGACCCTACAATTGGCCAGTTGGTCCTGAAGGTCTAAAAACTGTGATTAATCTGCCTTACAGGAAGTTAATACAGTAATTTGTTTTATCGTTTTTCTCTATGACAAACTTTGAGAGTTTCAGACACAACACTGACAAATATTTACTGTACATGGTTTCAAAAGCAATTCAAATAAAGAATGTCACTATTTGAGATAGCTAGATGTAAGACGATCATAAAGTACTATAGCCAACACTGGTCAAATTTTTAGATATTTACACTACAAACAAGGATAATCAATGTGAACTGACAACTTCAATACAAACAGAAGTTGGTGATAAAAATCACATCAATTATATTTTCACTGTCATATAATCATTGACTAGTGATCAAGTGTCCCACATATAGCATGAAAGTCATGCAAAACTTATTTTCCAGCGGTCATGTCTGCAGTTGTAAAAGGTACAGTAGTTAAAAGTCACACATTTCTTTAATACTGCATAAGTTCATGCAAACGACAATAGTGAAATATACTGTACTGTACTCGGTCTTCTACAAAATAAATGTACGAAGAAATGAATTTCCTATAGTATTATGGTAATTTTGTTACAGTGCTAACAGTCTTTAAATATGCATTTAGGGCCACCTAGAGGAGCCATACTGTATTCTTTAAAGTTTTTCTCACCACAGCCACAACCGTCTTACTGTATGTCTGAGGTAGTGTGGACTTCCCTATGTAAAGTGTATCCAGCATCTTTTTTCCCATAAACTTGGCAGGTCTGCTGAATACAGTACTGTAATTATATTTAACATGTACTGTAATAAGATTGATTGTACTGTAGCTCAACTATAGTAATCGAGAAATTTATTTGTGGCAAAGACAAGCCAAACTAGTCACTTGTCGCAAAAATTGATTTTTAGTTATTAATACAGGGCTAAACAGTAAAATGAGCGATAAATGGTAAAAAAAGAATCATTTAAATCTGATATTTCGTTATGAAGTTACAGGCATTTAAACATACAGCTATTTAAAGAACAATATTTGAGAAATCAGCCTTCAAAGTTTACGATTTTGGGCATTTCTTAGGCAGGAACCATATACCGAACCGTTAAAAATTATTGTTCTAACATTGAAAATGGGGAAAATAACACCATAACGTGATGTATAGATATATAAAGGTTAGCTTAGTGCTATGATTTCCAAAATTGTGACATTCCAGCATGTTTTGGCCATTATCTCTGAAAGAGGATTTGCAACGAGTGACTGGACATTTATACAGTAATCATAATAATAATAATAATAATAATAATAATAACTTTATTTATCCACGGATACTCATTTCAATCTTTTTACAAAGGTTGGTCTTCCAAGAGGCCGTGTACTTAAACTACTGATATGATAAAAGAAAGGGAAAACAAACATGGAAAAGTAAAAACCTACCAACTGCAAAAATTAGGAACTAAATACTAACTTTTAAACAATTTCAAATTTGAAATAATAAAATCTGTGGTTTCAAAAACTGGTCAGGTTTGACACAATATTTTTAAAACTCTTTAAATCTTTAGCATTTTTTACTTCTTCTGATAATGAATTCCATAATTTTGATCCATGATA